GGTGGGAGCTGTGGGCCTGGAGAGGGCAGGAGCACTGGGCTGTGGCGCCCAGCCCAAGGAGTGGTGCCGGGGCTGCTGCACGGGGCTGTGTCGCAGCACACAGAGCTGTGCCTGGTCCATGTGTGCTGCATGTGCCCAGCTCTGCCACCGTGCATATCTGCCACATATGCCCTGCTGTGACACATTGCACCATACCAAGCCACGCCAAGTTGTGCCACGCTGTATGCACGTGAGGTGTACATGCCGTGCTGTACCATGCTAAGTCAAGCAATGCCACACTGCGCCGTGCCATGCTATACACGCACATGCCATACGTGCCATGCTGCAGTGCACCGTGCCTGCCCGGGGCACGGCAGCCTGCAGGCTCGTGCAGGGCTGGGGCTACAGGTCCCACTCACGGCTGTGCCCGGCAGGAGTTCAAGAGGGAGCTCTACCAGTGCAAGGTGGACGTGGAGAGCCTGCAGCACCAGGCGGGCCCGGGCGGCGCCGGGCACCAGCCCCGCGTATCGCCTTCCGCCAGCGCTGGGACCACCTGGAGGAGGAGATCGTCAGCCGGCAGGTGGGCACAGGGGCCGGGGGTCTCTGGGGCGGGTGGTGGTGCCCGAGCTGTTTGTCTTGGCTCTGCTGTAGGCGTGAGTGGGGGGACACACCAAAGTGGGTGCATGGTGCCGGGCACGCTCTGCGTGTGTGGTGCTGGGAAGGGACCAGGTGCATTGTACTGGGAACGGGGTGCATGATGCTGTGCTGATGCTGGGTGCGTGGTCCTGGGCACGGGGTACATGGTGCCAGGAGCTGGGTGCAGTGTGCTTGCCACAGGGTGCGTGGTCCTGGGCACAGGGTACATGGTGCTGGATAGGCGCTGGGTGCAAGGTCCTGGGCACTGGGTGCTGGGCAAAGGGTACATGCTGCTGGGCACTGGATGCACAGTGCTCTGTAGGTGCTGGGCACTGGGTGCATGGTGCTGTGCAGGCGCTGGGTGCAGGGTATGTGGTGCTGGGTGCTGGGTGCTGGGCACAGGGTACTTGCTGCTGGACACTGGATGCACAGTGCTCTGTAGGTGCTGGACACTGGGTGCTGGGCACTGGGTGCAGGGTACATGGTGCTGGGCGCTGGGTCCCCGTGTGGGACTCACGGGTCTTGGATGGGCGGGCGCCCATCCTGCCCCTTCCCCCCAGCACCAGCTGGAGGCGGCGCTGCTGGGCCTGGGCCAGTTCCAGCACCAGCTGGAGGAGCTGCTGCAGTGGCTGTCCCGCACCTCAGAGCAGCTGCAGGGCCCGACCCTGCTGCGCCTCGACCTGCAGAGCTGCGAGATAGAGCTGGCCAAGCACAAGGTGAGGGCGGCTGCCCGTGCGTCGCATCCGCCGGGGCGGCAGCGTGAGAACGCGGCTCCTCCCGCCGTGACGGCATGGAAGGGATGAGTCGGCTGCGGGAGGGCCGCGGCGGCTCCACTTGGCCTCCCCGTGCCCAGGCATGCTCGCCTGCGGCTGACGCAGGTCTGCAGGGTGCTGCTCAGCACTACATGGTGCTGCACAGTGCTGTACGGGGCTGTACAGTGCTGTGTGATGCTGCACAGTGCTGCATGGGCCTGTGTGGTGATGCATGGGACTGTACAGTGCTGCATGGGACTGTGCAGTGTGGGGTGGCGCTGCATGATGCTGCACAGGGCTGTGTGGTAATGCATGGCACTTCACAGTGCTACATGGAACTGTGTGGTGATGCAAAGCACTGCACAGTGCTGCATACTGATGCACAGCTCTGTGCATTGCTGAGCAGTGTTGCATGGTGCTGCACAGTGCTGCATGGGGCTGTGTGGTGCTTCACGGGGCTGTGTGGCCCTGCACAGTGCTGCATACTGATGCACAGCTCTGTGCATTGCTGCCAGTGGTGCATGGGGCTGTTTGGTACTGCATGGCCCTGCACCGCATTGCATGGTGCTGTGGGTGCGGTGATGTGCAGAAGGGCAGATGGGACAGGCAAGTGGGGCCAACGCATGACGGGCATCACTGCCCCGGCAGGTGCTGAGGAACGACGTGATGTCCCACGCACGCACGGTGCAGTCGGTGAACGAGGCCGGTCAGGGCTTGCTGCTATCCAGCCTGGGCGAGAGTGTGGAGGGGCTGCAGCGCAGCCTGCAGCAGCTCAACCAGCGCTGGGACGCGGTGCAGAGCGAGACCGAGAGCCGCCAGCTGGAGCTGGAGAACAACCTCAGCCAGGTGCAGGACATCACGCTGGAGATCACCGAGCTGCTGCAGTGGCTGGAGCAGGTGGAGCTGCAGCTCTTCTTCTCCAAGCCAGCATGGGGCCACCCGGATGCCACCAAAGAGGAGCTTGCCACACACCTGGTGAGCCCCAGGCGCCGCCGGCTGCCCTGCTGCCCACCCTGGCG